TTTCATCATCTAATGATAACTACTCCAATCACTATTTTGGAGTGTACTTTATAAACATATATTATATAAATTTAATAAATTAATTTTTAATATATTCAATATTTCTAATGAAACACTAATTTTTTGTTAGTAATTTCTAAAAATTTTAAATTAGAGAAAAAAAATATGAAATCACTTTAAGAAAATTATTTGAATTTCAATAAATAAGATTTTGAAAAAAAAATATTGTCTTAATTTCATAATAGTGATGATGAATATATTTTTTCTCTAATTTAAAAGTCCTTTAAAATCCTAATCCAATACACCCCCCTTAGTCTACTCTCAAATCACTTCATCCCCGAAATTTACGACGCCATCGTACACTACTTATTTTTACTCTATTAATCGATGGATTGATTACCTTTTTCCTAATTGAGATGAATGTGGATTGTGGAGTACTTGATGCGATAATTTATATTTATCTTAAACATTGTGACTTTATCTGTATTTACATAGTTGTTGACAAGTTCGACGGAATTTACTACACGTGTAGTCCCCCACTCTGCTGTGCGCTCCTCATCGAATCTTGTCCCACCAATCTCTCTCTCTCTTCATTTTCTCTGCACTCTTCACCTATTTTTTCCCAAATCCTTTGTACGCAACAAACTCACATAGATACGAGGTTAGTTTCTTCAATCCACCTTGTTGTTGTATGATTTTTTTGTCCCTGCTCCTTCAGTTTTCCTTCATTTTGGGTTCTAACTTGCTGATTCAATCGATACCCTTTTGTGAATTCTTCTCAATTTGAGTTGTTTTTGCTCAGATCCCGTCATGCTGAGCCTGTGCTTGGTGCTTGCGTGATGTTGTGGTTGTGGGTCAGTTCAATGATTTGGGTCATGGGACTTGCATTTTTTTTTTGTTCAAGTCCTCGAGATTCAAATCAAGTGTTCATTTTTAAGCTTCGTTTTGGGGTTTGTATTGTCTGTTATTTGGATGTGGGGATTCAGAGGAGGGCTTTTAGGAATGAGGACTTGTAGATTTGTGAATGAAGAGTTGGGGTGTGGTTTAAGTGAAAGTGTGTGAATGAGGATTTGGGAATGATAGCATCTTGCTACTTGTGGAGTAATAGGTGTTGTAGATGTAGTTTTGAATGTAGTGGAAGAAAAAAAGATAGTGGTTAGATTTATTTTTGAATAGATATATGAATGAATAATTTTGATCTGCTTGAGTTTGGGATTTTTTTTATTGCTTGAATTATGAGTCATCTACAAGATTGGTCATCAATCATCAAACTAATTTTTGGTTCATCAATCTCTGAGTCTGACCCTTTTTAGAAGCCTTTGAGAATTATTAACCTTTTGTTTGTCACTTTTCATCCAACCTCCTTCCCACACTCTCTCTCCCTGTCTTCCTTTTTACTGTTCCATCCGATTTGAATGCAACCTATATATGTATGCATTGGAGGTTTTCTATTGTTTTAAGATAGAAAGTATCTGAATTCTCCTTCTGGATGAGCTATTGAAGAGGAAAAATCTGCTGAAAATTCTTGTAATTGTGAGAAAATAGCATGACATAATCTGAGTCCATGAATTATGATCCTGTATTGATGGTCTTCTAAATCGAGGCAGTAGAAAGTGGGGATTGGTTTTGGAAAAGACTGTCTTTACTTTTCTGAATTTCCAAATATTTTACTTGTCCAGACATGAGGGCCCCAAATGTGCCCTTTGACATAATCAAATATGTGATTCTGTAAGGGTCCTAAGGGAAAAGCATTCTGAGGTTGATAATCATCATATTTGATGCTTCATTGTTTTTCTATGGTGTCAGAGACATACTGAGAAGATCAAATATTTCTTACTCACGCAGTGCATTCTTTTGAGAAGGAAGTGCGAAAGTTGTTTGTTGTTGCTAAAACAATAGAAACTAAAAACACACACAAACCCATCCTCGTGCTATTAGTAGAGTTGGTAATCTTATTTTCATTGTTAATGCTCTTAAGGTTATATCTTAGGGTTTAAATGTGATTGCTTTCAATGAAGGACAGATATGTATTAAACAATTACAAAGGTGAAACAATGTGATGTTTTTTGCAATTAGCACAGTAGTATGCTTGCAAGATTATAGTGTCTGAGTTTTGTTGCTCAGTCTGTTTTCACTTTTGGATTAGATGAACCTAATTGACAGTTTTCTCACAGGAAAGGGATGAATTTGGGTGTGAGGAAATTTCATTATGTGATGCTTCTTTAGTGTCTGAGATTCTATTTAGCTCAAATCTGTCAAGATAGATGATTCAAAATTGTGTTAACTATGATATTCTTTCTTCCCATACTTTTACATGCTACATCCCACTCTCTAGGCACCACAGATTCAGTCTAATGTGAGAATCAATGCTTAGTAAAAGTTGCATTTGTGTCTTTTGTTTCACTCAGATCTTATTTCTGACACAACTTTTTGCTGAAGGTTGCAAGAGTCACAATGAGTCTGGCATGTCTTGTGTGCCATAGTGTGGATAGTCCCTCACCATCACACTCTTTCAGGAGTTACTCTGTCTCAAGTTCTGAAAATGCACTCTTTCAGGAGTTACTCTGTCTCAAGTTCTGAAAATGAAGGAAGATGTCATGCTGTTGCAACCTGCTTAACCAGGAAATTATCTCTTCCACCCTCTACATTGCACTCTTTTCTTCCACCGTCATCATCGTCCAAAGTGACTCCACAACCTACTAGTTCAAGTAACAACACGCCGCGGCTTGTTCGAAGCCGAGCCGTGACAAGGGACCGAGTAAGAAATTGGAATTTTGATGAAATTGCAATGGAGTCCTAGTCAAAAGTATAAGATAGAATAAGACTAGGGAATTTTCACTCGTGGGATAGTTCATAGCATGGTGTTGCTATATTTGCCCCTTTGAATTTTGTTATGGGTGCAATTGATCTCTTTCTCTAGTTTTCTTGTAAAAGAGTCCGAACATTTGTAGCCACAAAAAAATTCTACGGTGTGATTCTACGTTATTTGGCATTTTCCTTTTGGTCTAAAAGGTATGCTTATGTCAAGTATCAAGGTTGACTACAAATGAATTCTCCAACACATTTTTGCACTTCTTTTTCATCACTCTATTTCCACATATCATTCTTCAATCTTCATTTAGCTTCATTGATAGTATTAAGTCACCAAAAATTAGCCCTAAGAACTTACTTTTTTTATTAAAAAAAAAAAGTCTAGGAACCTAATTAAAAAAAATAGTTTAGGTACTTTTAAAAAAAACTCAAATAGTTCACATGTTGATTAATAATTTAACCTTTTCTAAAAATGTTTTGTCGGGGCTTTCGTGATTTTTTTGTCTCAAAAATAAAATCTCTATTTGTCGACTGAAGATAGCCTCAGTGCACACTAAAAAAAATTGTAATGAGGTTGTTAGATTGTTTCTAGAATTTGTGTTGTTATTTGTGAATCCCTTCCTTCCGTATTTACATACAGATAAACATCAGAAATACATTCTCCAACATTTTCTTAATATATTTTATTATTAATTAAAATGTATTAATAAAATTATAAGTGAGACTTGTTAATTTGAAAATAAATTTTAATTAAAAATTAAAAAGTATGTTAAAAAATGTATACTTGTGTTTTTTAACTAATAGTGGAATACTCTATTTGTATATAATCATGGTCTTTGATTTTTGCACTATTTTCATCTTGGAATTTGTAAATTATGTTTTGATCTTTTATTAATTCGCACAAGGTGAGGACTTTTCCAATTATTTCCTGGTCGTTTTACTTTTATGAAGTCAATTTCGAAATTGAAGATAAACTTAGTGCAATGTTTTCAGAAAGATTGGTAGTTGTTCTGTCTCATTCTCACAGAAGAAAATAAGTGCGCGGACTAGTTGGCAAATTCCTTGTAGCTTTCTTGAAGTTTGTCTCTTGCTAGTAAGTGAAGGAATTCTCATGATTTGGTGGGGGCATGGTAGATTTTTGCTTTTTAGGCCTGGCCCCATTTTTCTGCCAAGTGTGTCTCCTCTTAATTTCAGTTGCAATTATGTTAATAGTGGAACAATTAATGCCAAATCCTTTTAATAATTTATAAAGAAAGTTTTGAATGAAAAAAATAAATACATTTAATGTTTTAAGGAGGGCCACATGATGTTTTAACACTTGACACATATAAGCTAACTGTACTCTTGAGCAATAGGACCATTGTATGTGCTATGTGAAATAAATAACAGGGTTTAAGGATTGTTGATTTATTAACAAAACACCTGATTCTTGTTCTGTATGTTGCTTGATAGTTGATGGAGTTGGCATATGAATTCAAAGGAAAATATGCAAATAAGAGTGTTAGAAATTTCAATCGATTACTCAAATAATTATAACAGTGTATATAAATGAAGAATAATTCTTACTTTATAAATCAATTTGGTAGAGTTGAATTAAATAAGCCCATCTTATGTTTAAAGGAAAAAAAAAATTCATTAGTCTCAAGATTTTTTTTTGTTGAACATCTTTTTTATCTCTCCATCAATAAAGAAAGCTTCATTTAACTAATTAATAAGTGTCTATGTGACATGTTGACCAACTAAGATGACACCCCAAAGTCTCCACCATATATATAATATTTTCCTAAAATTCCTTTTCTCCTTCAAGAAACAACAGCGTTCTTCATGTTCATGGTTTGTCCTAATTCAATCATGATTTTGAGCAAAATAAGAAAAATAAACATCAGGAAGAAAGCTAAATCCCAATTCTAAATTAGAATTGTTTGTTGCGTTTCACCTAGTTAAAAAATAATCCTGATCCCAGAAGATTCACTCTAAGCAAATTGTTTCCTAAATGTTTATTAGAATACACTGCCACTAAAGCAGGAAACAATTGTGAAATCCACCACTATATATCGTTGTGTTATTGAATTGTGGTCCCAAAGTCCTTTACTATTATTTTTTTTTTTTTGTTCCAATCCTTTACTATTATTAAAAAATCCTTTACTATTATTAAAAAACTAATTTTCCGTCATATGTGGTCCCTTTATAGGGTTATATCAGAGGGATCATAACTAGGTTTTGGACCCTTAGATATATGTAATATAAAGTTCATCAATCGTGAAATTTGGGGATGTGCATGGAGTTCATAATTCTCTTTGTATGCTCTTGTATAAATGTTGAGTTCCGAAGGCTTTATTCTATTTTATATTAGAACACCATCTATTTTCCCCCAATGTTTTACTATAAAAAAATAGTTACTTGTAATAGGAGATTTTGTCGCATGCATGCTTATAAGAGATATGCCAACAAGTTTTATATACGTGATCAAGGCATATATATTCAAAAATTGACTTTGATATAAGCTAGATTACGTTTAAGATATGCTATTATCGTATGTTCGTTTAAACTTGAAAATTAATAAGTTTTTTTTAAACGAGTGGTTTCTAAAAAAAAATCATTTTTTATTAGAAAGATAAGAGTTGTTCCTTAAAAAAAGCAGAAAATTACTTATTTAAAAAAAAAGTTTAAACACATCAAAAAATAAAAAAGATGTTGATTTTATTAAAAATAAATGTTTTACACTACAATAAAACTGTCATATAATAACACACACCCTATAGTGACATTATACATGTCACTAAAAATTACTTTTATCCACACAGTAACTATAATATATGTTGGTATATTATTAAAAAGTGTAGGTATAGACTATAGTGACACACAAAATATGTTGTTAAATCTCATTTAAAATTAACATTAAAATTGTGTGTAACTATATGTAACATTTCTTGTAATATTGTTAGAGGAAAAAACACTGTAACCCATGGAGGCATGGACTCAGTTGTGGATTGAAATCCAATTTCAAGTAATCAACAAGGTTCAATTCAATTAATAGAGTGAGTTCTTTAAGCATGATCTACATATATCTGATTTTTTAATAGTGTGAAGAAGAAAAAAAAGTTGTTGAAAAATATTATTCCTTCATGTGATTTTTATGTCTTAAAACAAATTAATTAATCTCTGGCTAACCGTTGGAAGGTATCCTTAGCCAGTAATAAGACTGCGTTTGATTTGCTATTACAAACTTGCATACTGATGTTGAACAGAAAAGATACTTACTTTAACTTTCCACTATATCAAGCTTCACGATGAATCATGAAACTATAACGGTGACTCCAATTTAAAACTTTCTTTCCGAATGTTTTCCAAACCGCACTTTTACTTGCAAAAGGGTTGAACAATGTTTATATACTTTTTTTGACAGCAAGCAATGTACATATACTTTTGGAGTTCTTTTTATACCTTGCTATTTGTTGAACTATCGTGAGAAAGAATTTCAACAATTGAAACAAACCCAAGGCTTCAAATAGGAAGATAGGGAAGATTGATGTATTTTGTTTTCATATGTAGAACTCGAAAGGTGATCCAATTACCACAAACCAGAGGTTTTAGGATGTTTTCTTTTCTAATAACTTAAAAGTCACAATCCCTTGAGAAATTGCAGACTTTCAGTCGTTTTCTGAATTAGATCCTTTAGTGTTACTTTGGACCTTTGGTCGTGTTATGAGAGAGAAAAAAACAAAACACTTGGAGGCACCCATTGTAGTTTCTGTTGCACAAACAAGTTAAGAACCGAGAGAGTTTTATTCTCTCAACAATTTTTTTTTTTTTTTTTTAGTTTTGATCCCTAAAATTTTCCTTTATAACCAAAAAAATCTTAAAGTCAAGGACTAAAGATGTCAATGGGAAGAAAAATTAAGACTCTAAAAGTGAAAATCGATGGAAGTTCAAACGATAAATGTATGTTTGAATTATAGTTAAAATGTTAAATTAAGTTAGATTTAACTTTTCAAACCTACTTAAAAAAAAAATAACGACATTCTTGTTGGAAATAAAGAGATCTAATCCCACTTCTGTAAATGCAAAATAGGTACTGTGTAGAGGCGAAAATAATAAAAATAAAGAATAGAAGAATAACAATAAAACTTTTACGTGAAAAACCTTTTCCATATGTGTAAGGAAAAATTACGAAACCTAATCCAGTAAAAAAAAATCTTCAATATGAAAGTAAAATTACAAATAATCTCTTTTTCTTAAAAGGATCATTCAAAGAATTTCATCCCTCTCATATGACTATCTCTTAATTATCAACAAGTGTAATGGAATTGTGGAAATAACTCTCTTTTTCTCGCAAAGAGGAATGCAATAACTTTTTCACTTTACTTTTCTCTTTCTCTCAAAGAGGAATCTAGAATGGATTATGCTCTACTGTGCTCTACCACCACTTCACAAGTTGTTCAACCAATTCCCATCCTGTAGATGCATGAAACTCCTTGAAAGATTGAAGAACTTTGTCTTTCGTCTTCAATACATACACTTATAATTTTCTAGGGTGGTAATCAATGAAGATAATAGAATATTGGACACTACCAAGGCTCTCTATTTATGACTTTTCATTTATGATTCTTTATTCATGGTCTTTCATTCATGACTCTTCATTTATGTCTCTCTATTTATAACTCTTCATTCATAACTATCCATGAGATATCATTCTTCATTCATAACTCTTCATGAGATATGACTCTTTATGAAGTGCATCATCAATTAAGGGGGAATCCTAATATTTCTAACTTTTGATTCAATTAAGATTTCTTTGTAATTCACACTCAACAGAATAGAAATTTTTTTGCCAAACATGTAAACACTACATTTGAGACTAAATAATTGTAGTTACAAGTTGTGAATGTGTAACCAATATAGTCAAAAACTAGTGAAATATTTTTGTATTTTCCTCTCACACAACATTATGACATAATTTGTTAACACGAGAATTTAAATCATTTAGTGATCCTTAAGATATTGTCTAAAAATCTCATGCATGCAGTCAGCTTTTATATGCAACAATTATGTGTTTCAACTTTCAACTTCTAGAGTAGAAAGGATCTCTCTGCAGCAAGAAGGGGTATCCAATGCCTCTTCTCTTGGAAGGAAATACAACAAACAAAACACTCACAAGGAAACCAACCACAAGAGGAAGAGTGTTGGTCACCTTTCTAGGCAATGTTGGGTAGTAACACTTGACAACATCTTGATGCAACCCTGCAAAAGCAAGAAAAGAGACCAAAGACAATGATGCATAGAAAACATCACACCATCTTAGTCTATAATCTGATGGCACACGTGGCTTCTTCTTGCCTCCATTGAAAGTCCATATCCCTGTGAACGTTGCCACACCATAGTACAACCTCCCTGTGGCACTTCTGAAGCTATCAGTCAAAGTGAAGAAAACACATGACACTGCCAAGAGGGTTAAGAAAGTTGCCATCAACCAACGGTTCAAAGTGGTGCATTCTCCATCGTTTGTGAGAAGAGGTGCAAAGATGCTGAATGCAAGGATTGTGGCTGTTGGCAATAGAACATTGAGCCTTGCAGTGCCACTTAGTATTGCATTGATGACATAGAAATAGTAGGATTCGTCAATGTCATGGTCGTCAAGATCATAGTAATCATCATTCTCATTCTGTTGTTGTTGTTGTTCATCACAGTGGAGAATCAGTTCTTGACTCGTTGTGTTGCTCATTTGTCTCCAACCAAAAACAAGGTTTATTTGGAAGAGTAAGTTTTGTGATGGTCTTGGAGTTGGTTCACGTGGAATTATAAGTACTGTTTTAATTCTACATTTGTATAATATTTATTGGTTTTGGTTCCTTCCTTTGTAATGAAAATTCTTGGAGGAATATGTTTTTCCTTCTAAAGCAATGTTTGTGTCAGTTTGCTTTCAAGTTGGGAAATCTTTATGCTTTGCCATGGTTCCACTTTCCAGATGAAACCCTCTGTCCAACAAGCTTTGTAGCATCATGCAACATTGTCCTTTACAAGTATTAGAACTCTGTTTTTTAGATTAAATATATTTTTAATACCTGAATTTTTGTCAATTTTTACTTTTAAATTTTGAACAAATTTTATTTAGTTTTAGCTCTTGAATCTTTTTAAATAACAAAATTTTGATGTTAGGATCAAAATGTTAACCAAAGAAAAAATTTAATAACTAAATAAAAAATCGATAAAAATTCAGTGACTAAAAAATTAATAAAAACAATTTAAAAGCTAACAATAAAAATGGAATAAAGAAATAGACTTAAAACAAAATAAATAAAATAAAATAAAATAAAAGTTTATATGATCCAACTCTTTTATTTCAGTTCCTTTTTTCAGTTATACCTTTCTTTACACCTGTTGAAAAACCTTCATTTTTGCTTTCTCTTTTGTTAGGAAAAATGACTATTTCACATTACTTTATATTTATATATATATACATGTGTGTTGAGGGGTATGTGTATATTTTCTTTATACTTAAAAATGTTAGATCGTAACACATGAAGAGGAGAAAGAATATCAGACTTCTTGAATATATGTATAACGAAAACGATGCAAAATCAATCAGAATTCTTCTATTAATTCTCTGACATGGGCAATTTTGAATGGAAATGGTACTTGTGCAGGACTGTGTTTAGAACTTTTACATTGTGCCACACTTCGTTCTACAAACTGGAGTAATGCCACAAGTACTATTATATATTTACTATTATATAAAGCATTGGTATTTTCGGTTAAATATATATATTTACTCTTATATAAAACAATTAATGATCTAACCCAAGACATACAATCTTCTATAAATTTATTTCCCGCCAAGCTATTTTTACTCTGATGATACATGTTATTTTTATCTTCTTTTTAGTCTATGTTTATTATTTCTAAAAAATTAATAAAGGATATTTTAATCAATTAATTGGATTTTATAAAATAATATAGATGCTTGTTAAATAATTATAGTTTTTTTAGTTTATTAAAGAAAGCATGAAAAAATATAATATTATTTATGAGTTATTTTGAAATTTTATGTATTTTAATTATATTTTATGATGGAGAGAATAATGTTTTAATTATAAGGGAAAGAGGTTTTAAAAAAGGGTTTCAATGAAGCAAGTCAATTTTTATGCTTTTATGAACTCATGTTCTCTCTTAATTTTCTCTCTAACTCGAGCTTCTTGGAGAGAATGTAGAGGTTGTCGGAGTGCATCTCAAAAATCTTTGTCCTTCACCCAACGTCTATCAAGGAGGATCATCGAGATGATGATGATATTGACATTAAAGCCCAAGCCTTTGCATGTTAATGACTAAAGCACTAATAAGATGATGTGACATCGAGGTTCATAGTTTAGGGCTTGTTATTTTGTTTACTTGGTTCATTTCATCTTATTTATTAACAATGTTAGTCCTTAGATTCATATATGGTTTTGGGCAGACATTATGGTCTAGCGATTATTTTGGTGACATTTATGTTTTGAATTTATTCCATTTTGAGCCAAATTGTGAACCCTTTATACTTAGAAGTATTTTATGAACTATTATTTATTTCAAATAAAGTTGTACTCAGGCCAGGTTCTTAGTTTCATTAGTATTTATGAGTATGCAGAGCAGAGGGTGTTACATTTAGTAGTATTTGATGAGTCTAGTTAACTCAAACCAGAAGTGTGTGTTATGTGCCATGACTAGTGATTTCATGCTTACTTTGAGTGTGTTATGTGTTTGTTGTGTTCCTTGTGCACTTTGTTTGTTTGTTAGTGTAACAACCTAGACACACTAGAATAAGAGAGATTCTAGATATTTGGACAGATGAGAAACTATACAGTTGAAGATGACTTAAAGGAATTAATTAGTACTACTTATACCAACAAGATGCATTTACTTTTTGATAGTTCATCACTTAAGAACTCTATAATTAATTGTGCTTAACTTGGAACAATTTAGGGACAGACGACCTTTTGGAAAGTTTTCCAGAAAGTATGTGAGTAAGGATAAAGCACACTGAAAAGTCGTGTGTTAGCTTGTGGGGATAGTTGATGGTCCTAAAGGCAGTTAGGCATCTCCTTAGTTTGTTGTTGTTTGTTTGTTACTCGTTACTTACTTCTTGCTTATGGGAAAAGTGGTGGTCAACGCTTAGAAGTTGATCCAAGGAGAACCTTTGCGCTTCATGTTTTAAATTCAAAATTCAAAAAATTAAACCAAATTATTACAAGAATTGCATAAATGTGTTTAAAGGAAATAAACTAAAATTTCTAGTGTAGAAAAGATAAAAAAAACATATTCCTAATAACCTTGATGTCACTGGTATAAAAAATTTCCCTTCCATCAATTAAACTCCTCCAAAATGAAATTTTTTTGCAAACACATAGAAACAAATACAAGAAAAATAAGGGACTTCTCACTCCGGCTACCAGTGTAAGATAAGGTTAGGTAGCCATACAAAATTGATATACTTAAACAAAGTATTCATATAGCTTAGTAATCCCCCCATACACACATATCAAAACAATAATTCACAATTCATATTTCACGTCGTCAGAATATAAACCGCACACACACACATATACACATATTAGAACAGTAATTAAAGCACTACTTCACAATTCATATTTCACAACGTCACAATATAAACCATATTATAATTCAAATGAAAACATGTTATGATTATGCAAAGACTAGACTTTCCTAACCATATGCTTATGGCACCAATAAAAACATTTTTATCCCTACCCAAAGGTTGAGTAGTCTAGGAATACATGCTAGATCAAGTCATTACAAGACTCTCACTAGAAGGATATACTAATAGGGTCTTGTCAGGATAGTTGAGTCACATAAGATCCACTTTATGCACATAATGAGTGAGACTGGGGTTTCCTAAGCCAAACTATCCTCGAGGATTAATCCTTGAGCTTTTATGCAAAAGGGCCTTCCATAGCAATGTATTCCGCATCGTATCTATCATAAAACACTTATGCACATGATGAATGAAATTTAAGACTCTATGCACATTCAAAACACATTCACTTATCAATTCATAATTATCAATACTTCTCATTTTTCACCACTTATCATAATCACATATCTCCAACCTGTTGGAGAGAAAGATACACACTAGATGGGGTTGAATAGTGTATATCAAAAACTCGTACTTTTTGTAGTGAGAGGGGGAAGAGTACAAACAGACGAAGTACTGGAGAGTAATTAGACAAAGTAATGAAATAGATGAAATGGAACAACTATTTTTATACTGCTTCGTCTTCAACCTAAAGACTACGTCCAGTTCTTAATCCAACCAAATTGAGTTCCACTATCTTATACAAGACACAAGTATTCTTTACAAGCCACTTTTGGCTAAAATCCAAGTATTCTTTCAACAAGCCTCTCTAAGCTTAAACCCAAGTATTCTTTAGCACAAGCCTCTCCAAGCTCAACCTTTACAAATAAGTTTGATAAGAGTTATAAGTATAGTTTTATCTCTTCTAGACGTGATGCTATCAAAATACAACACAAAAAGAACTACAAAGAGCTAGATACAAGATTTGCTATGAAGATCTTCTTTATAGAATATCATCTTTGTATTTCTCATTGTCTGAATTTTCTCTATGCAAGTTTATTCTCAATGCTTTGTTTTCTTTTTCTTCACACTTCCTCTTACTTCATAGTTTACATCATTACTCATCTTTCTTGTTCACGCCACTCTCTTTTTCTCTATCAGGGTTCCATTATATTTGCTTGAGGATTTTACCCTTATATAGTAACTTTTGGAAAGATGATCGTTGTGGCAAATTTCAAATTTTATTGAGTTGCTTCGTTTGTCTATTCTTCAGAGGGTACCATAGATGCATTTAATGCAAGCATTAAATGCTTATTAGAGATGTGTGTGTCCCTTATTTGATATTTGAAAACTATCTTGAGTGTGGTAGCATTAGCGTAGAGTAATTAGTGTAGAACAATCTTTTTTAGTGTCTTGTCTATGATATCCATGATTTTCTCTTTCTATCATGATACAATGATTTTATGATTTCTTTTTGAAAGCTTTTGTTCTCTTCGAGGATCTTTCCTTATTCGATCTGTTAAGGAATAAAGTATTAATGTTTTCTTAAGGATAATCTGACAGTGTAACGAAAAATAAATATAACATTAACACCAAATCATATGTTTCATCTAATGTGTTTCATCTTACAAATGAAATGTGTTACTACTTCATCTGTAATATTTTCTTTTGAAACACTTAAAGCAACGTTCTTGTTGTTTATAAAAGGCGTTTAGAAACACTCCAAGCCTTTTAGAGAGATTTTTGTGATCACAAAACTCAAATCATCTCAAGGGATTCCATATTATTCTCTTGATATTCTAAGTTTCTTTTTGATCTTACACAATCCTTATCACTTATCATAGTGTCAATATCATTTAATTACACAAGTCACACACACAAATGAAATTCAAATCCCAGCAAGATGCATCCAGAGGGCCTCTAGAGCTCTCATGCCCAAAATGATCAAGTTCACACCCAACGTGAATAAGGCCATGAGCACTCTAGAACTATCATGCCCAACATGAACCACCTTATTCCCAGTGTGATCGTCCCAGGGAGTAAATTTTGGCTTCCACACCTAACACAATATCAGTAAAACAGGTTTTGCATAATTTACAATTTTACACACACACACACATATATATATATATATATATTCATATTCTACAACTTCTATGATTTTAATCCACCAAAGGGGTATCTAGGGTCTAATTAGCTTCATTTTCAAGCATACAACTATAAACATTCAAATAGTTCTCCAATTAAGGGTTTAGATACATCTTTAGGATTCCCCCAGGAACCTTCAAGTACTCATAGATTCGTGATCACATTATTATCATAGATTGCACACTTATCATATACATACATTATTCAATTCACTTCGTTCACATATGACATATTCACATAAGGATCGGGTTTAATCCCTCACTTACATGTATACATACATCCAGGGATTGAGGATCAATCCCACAACCTAACAATTATCCCACACCTTGGAACGAGGTTCTCACTCCCCCTTACCTTTATGGATGCTAAAATTAGAGTTCTAATCTTTGAGCTCCTCTTCGACCCTTCAAGTTCTCCTCCCTCATCAAATTACAAATTTCATGATCACATAAAAGGGAGGCAAACCTAAAGCAACTAACATTTTTAAATAAAACCCTAATTGTCACCTTTGTACACAACCCATTAGCAAAATTCCAAAATAATTATCCTCACTAATTCAAATTTTAAATAGATAATTAACTACTAATATCTTATCTTACCACTTAGAATATATTATCCCCAATTAATTAATTTGAAAATATTTATTAATAAATTTCAAAAAAGAATAGGATGTTACAGAATAAGGTTTTAAAAGTGAGGATTTTGGAAAAACAAGTAAGTTCTTATGCTTCTTTCAACTCACGCTCTCTCTTTTCTCTTTGATGCAAAAGCTTCTTGGGAAAAATGTAGAGGTTGTCAGAGCGCATCCCAAAGATCTTTGTCCTTTGCCTAATGTCTATCGAGGAGGATCATTAAGGTGATGATGATGTTGATGTTGAAGCTTAGGTCTTAGGGTGTTTATGAGTGAAACTCTAATATGATGTGATATTGGAGTTCATAGTTTAGGATTTGATATCTTGTTTACTTGGTATATTTCATAGTTTATGCGTATTGGACGGCCATTGTGGTCTACTAATTATTTTTGAGACATTTATATTTTTGAATTTAGTTTTATTTTGACCTTAATGTGAATCCTTTGTCCTTAAAGGCATTTTATGAACTATTGTTTATTTTGAATAAAGTTTTATTTTGACGAGATTCATTTATTTCATTAGTATTTATGAGTATGAGTATGTAGATTGAGGATGTCTACTATGACACCTATTCTACCCCATGCAAATAATATAAATAATCAAGGAAGAAATTTAGCAATTTAGGTAAAACGGTTTCATATGCAATCCACTTCTAGTCATCCAATCAAACAAAACAATTACAAGATGTAGAGTTTTCAGCAAGTAAAGGGTAAATTAATATGAAAGACAAAATCCTATCCTAATCCCATTGCCCCGATGTCACATTATCAAAGCAACCTATCGCTTCAACTCTCAGCACCTTGAGTGTCGATCTCATCACTTACTTCATTACCTAAAATACACCATAATGAAGACAGGTGGGAAAAATAGGCATTCATATGTACAACACAAGAAAGAATTCCACCCAAACATATAGACAACCCACATACATTTCATAGTAATAACCAATCACGATAATATTATCATTACATAAGTCCATCAACTAATGTCACCACAACCACATCACAATACATTTCACAGTAATAACCAATCACGATAATATTATCATTACTTAAGTCCATCAACTAATGTCACCACAACCACATAACAATACAACCCATGCATCGTGCTCATGCTCCCACCAATGCATATGCAATTCAACCTCCTAAGAAGCATCAACTCAGAATGTCACACAATGGGAGAACTTCATCAATATCCTTAGGCACCGCCACGCATCGCACATCGTTTACATCACTTATGACCAATGTTACACTATTAATCACCACTTATGGCCAGTGTATAAAATAACACATCCCACACCGTTTACATCACTTATGACCGGTGTCACACTGTTAAGCACCACTTACGGCTAGTGTATAAAGATGCATCCCCTGTTAATCACCACTTATGGTCAAGATAAATGTGTATGCAACATGCACCCATGTTCATGTCATGTCACCTCATCCATTCATCATTTCTAATGCATAATTAATAATAAGCCACATCCAACCACATATGTACATCAATTCAACCAGACACACACCATTCATAATTAATCATACAATAGTCATCTATGGACATCATACAACTCATCATCATCATCAACATACATCAATACATATAGCATATTCATAGACTGCGCCAAGCTTCACCAAGTTGTGCCCGACTTTAAGCCACAACAGAGAGCACACACACAATTTCACGCCTAGGGATATTATAATTTCACCTAGCGTTAAGAGCAAACAAAGAGCACCAAGTCTCTCTCACGCCCAGCGTTAGGGAGTCACGTCCAACGCTAAGGCCAAATAGAAACTCCCCAAGGTGGTCACGCCCAACATGAAACGTTCCACACCAACCCCTCCTGAGCTTCACATTCATTAGTATGAATGCAAGCTCGACGCCAAACACGTTTTCTAGAAAATGCAGTATGAATAGAACATCTAAAAAATTCATAATCAATCATACAGTCATCCTTTTACTAATCTAATAAGTCAAAAACACTTATTTTCAGACAAAGGCAAATAATATAAGGTTAATTCCTTGAATTTTAATACTAATTACAGGATCCCCATTTCTCAATAATCCTAACCTAGATAGACATTCCAATAATTATTCTTCAGATCATCAATTTTACCAAATAATATAGTAAACAAGTTCACAATTCAATATAGAACCTAATTAGATTGTCAATTTCAACTTCAAAAAAGAAATAGAAAAATCATTGGAATTTAGGGATTTTCCCCCACTACCTATTCTCTCTTGTAATCCCACATATGAATTACTCATTTCCTTCTCCTGTACATTATTGTGTCAATAGAAGAATTCGATGCAGCTTGAGGCAATTTCGAGCACTTTTTCCAAGAGCTCCTTTCTTCTCTTCCTTAATTATCTCTCCCAATCTTTCAGAATGAGAAATGAGGTAGATGAGTTAACTCTATCTAACCCCTCTCTTAAAAGCCCACTGAACTAGATCAACCCAACTCATTTCCCTTCTTCCATTAAATTAATTAAATAAATAAATATAATAAAATAATTTCCCACTTATAAAAATAAATAATACTTCTGACTATAATATAATAATATTAATAACATCATTATTTAAAAAAAAAATAAGATGTTACATCTACATACTAATAGGATAATTGAATTTTTTTCATATATTTTGAGACACATAAATAATTAGTATATTAAATTATAATTATTGATTAATTTAATTTTTAATTTTATAAAAAAAATAATTTCAGTGAATTACACGGCCGTTATATATCGTTTTAACATTGAAAAATTGGCTCCCTTAAAAAAAAAACATTGAAAAATTGGCGGTTGCTTTTCTTTTTTTGAAATTGTAAAAAAGAATTGATATTTAGTAATTTTAGTAATTAAAATAATTTTATTTATGATTTTAAAGTTTAAATTGATTCAAAATTTCAACTTGACAAATTAATGGAAGGAATTATTCTTATCATTGATTTAATATTTATAATTATAAAAAAATCAAGTTTTATATATTAAACAATTAAGACAAATAATTATTTTGATGGAGAGTGGTTTTAGGAGATTTTTTTCAACCATAAAATTTTTAAAAATTCTTTTAACTTCTTATTTAATTTGATTTTTTTTATCATAATTATTTATAATTATATTTTAATATTTTTAAAATAAATTATAAATAAATAAAAATTAATTTTATACTACAATATAAATTATTTATCATAAATATAAAATATAATTTATATATTTAAAAACATATATTTATATAAATTTTAAATATATAATTTATATATTTTCCATATAAATTATATATACAAATACATAATTATATTATTTATTATATATTTTAATTATATATAATAAATATTTAATATGTAGATTATACATACTAAAATATTATTCTTTTGAAAAATAATAATAACTATAAAGAAGTAGAGAGTGTCACACACCTAAAAGTAGTATTTAAGTGGGATGAATCTAGAAAAAATTTAATGACAAAGAAACTCTTACGAAGTTCTATAAATAGCCAGCAAATGGTAGAGCTGTCCAAATGGACTCAACCTAGTGAACTAACCCGGCCCACCATGAATTTGAGCCGAGTTGGGTCAAAAAAAATTGAAAATTTTAGTACGGGCCGATTTTGAACCCGGCTCACCCGGGTTGAAGCCATGGTGAGCCGGGCTGACCCACCAACCCATAATATTAAAAAAAAAATAGTTATTGGGCCAATGGCCCATTAGGGTTTCAATTTGAACTTCACAAATCACTTCAAACCCTCTCACTCTCACACCCTCAGACTCTCACATGGTCACTGTACCGCACCACCAGCCACCATAGCTACCACCACACCACACCACACCATAAGCCACTGCACCGTATCGCATAGCTGCCACCGCACCCCACCGTGAGCCATCACGCGCACTGCAAGCCGTAAGCCACCGTCGCACCGCACCGCATAGCTGCCACCACGAGCCACTACGTGCAAATCAGACAGGTATATTCTGCAAGCACCACAAGCCACTGCGGATCCTTTTTCTTTTAAATTCGGTGAGCTAACCCGTTTAACCTACCAACCCGTGGTGGGTCGGGTCAGGTTCAATTTTTTTAAGCTCACTAATAAATGAGTCGAGTTAAGTTGACCTACCAAATAGTCAACCCGTGGTGGGTTAAGCCGGGCCAAATTACCCAATTTGACAGCTCTAGCAAATGATAAGTGGTCGTACATACAATTTCTTCGCGTCATTTTCTTTTGTAATTATTCACCTAGTTTTATTTTATTCAAAGAGAAACCGTTATGCCATCCAAATTAGTATCAGGAGCGAAGTGGTTTTTTCCACAAGTTTTAATCATATATACGTTTCTATTTATTATATTATATTTATTGTATAAAGGTGATATTTTAATTTGATGTATATATTTTTTTTAATAATTTTATTTTTAAATAATAAAAAATAATATTAAAAATTAATTAATCTTATAAATACAAGACTTGTATTTAATATTTTAAGCTTTAAAAATTAAATATAAAAATAATTAATCTAACAAATATTGATAATTTTTAAATATCTTTAATAAATAAAATATAGAGATACGAAATATTTTAATTTTTCCTAATGAAATAATAATTGTGCTTATTATTTAATCTACCAAAAAATATTACTACATTATATATAAAAAATTAGAACTCAATATTCTAAAATCTTATTATTTAATATATTAGAATATATTTCTATATTTTTAATTATATATGTTCTTGGTGTCAAAAAAAATTATATATGTTTCTATTAATTATATCATAATAATATCAAATATTTAAAAATTTATTATTTAATGCATTAAAATATATTAATTATTAAGGATAACATCCTTATATATGCATTTAAAATTTTTGCATTATTTATTTACTATTTTGATTAATTTTCCTTTTTTATATAAATTGTCATTTTCCATTAATTTTTTTTATAAATCACAAAATTAATAAATTCATCAGATAATTCATATGGGATTCTTCTTCTATTCATTAGGTGTGTGTTTGGTATCAATTTTTTAACACAATTTCTTCTTCTCCTTCCATATCTAAATGTCTAATTTATGTGAAAGTATTTATCGCTTTAAATTGGACATAAAAAATCACATTAAGATGTAAATGTAAACACACTCTCACTCTGAGTCAAGTGGGACACCATTGTTAGACCAAAATCCTACAACAGATTGGATATTCTGAATAAGTATTAGGGATATGGAGATATTTTCCCCTTCCGCCTATAAATACACCATCCTAGCAGCTATATAAAAGAAAACAAGACAATCATGTAGGTAAATACTCAATTTTATCCCTTATATTTTATCAATTTATTCCATTCCAATTTTGAACCTCACTTTTTATCCCACTTTATTTATCTATGTTTCATTAGGTCAGTTCTCAAGCTAGTAAAGTAAAAAAATATAAATAAAAATGCAATAAAAACAAAGAATGTGAATAAATTGTACATATACTCTTTAAGAGAACATCAATCTAATAAAAGTTATAAAATGAAAATTTTGAATTGCAAATAATATAATATTAAATACATGAGAAATAATAAATAGAAAGAAAAATATCTTCACTTATTATACTACTACGACACTCTGCAATGATGCACTGCAATGGCTACTCTTATCTGTTGCGTCACCCTACTCGTGTGAGCTATTCCTACCATTGCTGCAACAAAGTGACAAAAGAAAATAATTATTATACAATAAATGATGGGGTTCAAAATTATTATAAATTAGAAAAATTATGAGATCATGGAGGAGTTTTTCTTCATACTAGAAGTCCTTTAACCACATCCAACATCTTGAATATCTCTTCTCACTTGCTGGTCTCCAAAGTTCTAACTAATTCTCTCAAATAGTGGTGTGCAGTGTGTCTCAACATTACTTTTAGTTGTTATTAAATTTGTGTTTAAATCCAAATTTCGTTTTCTCTTTGCCTTCACATATCGTGCTTTTATAGGCGCAAATAATGGCTAAAACTCTATTTTGATCCTTTATAATCTTAGGGCCGTTCCAGACCAGAACGGGCCGTTCCAAACCAATCAAAGGGCCTAAAATTTGTACCCCGAAACGGGCCGTTCTCATTTTAGAACGGGCTGTTCTGGTTCCCGGAATGGGCCGTTCTAGGGTGCAAAAATAATACATAACGTTCGGATCCGGAACGGGCCATTCCGAATCCAAAACGGGTCGTTCCGGCCCACATCTGATGCTTATAAATAGAAATCTCGGCCACAGTTCTCAAGACTCCAAATTTCGTGCAGACTCCTTAGAGCTCGAATTTTCTCTCTCTCTCTCTCTCTCTCCTATTGTATTTCTTGAGTTTTGTGAGACTTATTGTAGTGTGAAAGGTTGACACAAAGCACCTAAATCTCCATATTTGAAGATTAATAGAACTCGTTCAAGAGGTATTTCAGTTAATTTTCTTCTCTCCCTTTTATTTCTTATCTTTAATAAATATTATTTATAATAAAAGCAATCATGTAGATATTTTAGGGTCAATTGTATAATTTAAATTTCAAGCATGTAAATAGTTATTAATAAAAGGGGATTTAATATCTATATTATTATTATTTATAACGCTAACTTCATCATAGGGTACCAATTGAGGGCGTTGTAGGGGTGCTTAATACCTT